CTGGATTCACTGGGGAAAGGAGCCGTGGAAAGGAGCTGTGAGCAATTTGTTTTTATTTTTGTTGATGTGCAAGGTATGAATTTTTAATTTTTAAAAATTACATTTATTATGTGATATAGGGTACACAGGCCATGTTATACATGTCAAAGTCAAAGGTGGCAGTAAGTGCATTTACCTGCCTGTCAGCTTGTCAGCTCCAATATGTAACTTTATTTAGGTCTCTGATGCAGGTCACAGGAAGCCTCCACAGTATAGGAGAAACTGAGCTGCTCTCACTTGTGAATCTATATTTTTACTATGACATGGACATGAAGGTCTGCCTCTCAAAATCTCTTTGCACTCCATACTTGTCCTTCACCAATGTTTTGAAACTTACTAGTTCTGTGTTTAGGAAGCTGCTCCAGTCCAGGGGGAGCTGGACTCCTTTGACTGGAACTAAGAAGCAGAAGCTGTAGTTGAGCCACCAGTGTGGATCTCTTCTTCTAATGGCTGAAGCTGTTGGGTGCAGGCATTCAGCTACTTGATCAATAGCTGCCGATCTCTATGTTGGCTGTAGTGGTAGTGGCCTCGGAGCAAACCCAGTGTCATCCCCAAGGCAGGCAGAGATCAAAGCCCAGCTGGAATCGCTTCTGCTGTTCTCAGGTCTGGCAGACACATGAGCCACGTCGTTGCTACTCCTGAAGCTAAGCAGGTGGTAGTGGTGTGCATGCTGTGTGTGGACACACACCTGCTTTGACCCAACCATTTTGGGGAGACTGTAGGAGATGTCAGTTGCACAGCTGCTTCTCCCAGGACTCCCCCAGATGTCGTCATGGCAGCCTTGGTTGCTTTTAAAATCTCACGGCCACCCAGGGAGACCCTGATTCATTCTCAAATGGCAATAGAAAGAAATTATGTGTTCTTTCTTATATGTGGATCCTAACTTTTGTGTGTGTGTGTGTTTGTGTGCACGTGTGGCGGTGGGGAGATAGGGTGGGTGAGTGGGGTGGTAAGCGATATAAAAGGAGAAAGGGGACCATGACAGGAGAGAAGGTTTTAAGGAAGGGATGTGAGGAGATAATAGAGTAAGATGAGATGGTGGAGGTAAAGGAACTATTGATGGTTATGAGCAGAGTGTAGGGAAAAGATGGAGATAAGAGCAGGGGAGGAGGATTGACCAAACCAAATCTGTATGAAGAACGCCAAAACGGCTGGGTGTGGTGGCACACACCCTTAATCCCAGCACTCGAGAGGCAGAGGCAGGTGGATCTCTGTGAGTTTGAGGCCAGCCTGCTCTACAGAGTGAGTTCCAGGACTGCCAGGACTGTTATACAGAGAAATCCTGTCTTGAAAATCCAAATCCTCCCAAAAGAAAAAAGAAAATGCCAAAATGAAGGCTTTTAATTCCAGCACTTGTAGGACAGAGACAAGCTAGGTCTATATAACAAATTCCAGGACAGCCAGAGCTACATAGAAAGACACAGTCTCCATATAAACAAACAGACAAACAAATAAATGGAAAGGAAATAGAATAAAAATGCCAATGTTTCAATGTTAATTTAAAAATATATTATGATTCATGAGATTTCTAACAAGTCAGTATGTACGGTATCACTATTGTCATTGAATTTAGTTCAAACTCGTTCATTTCTGCTTGATATACTAGAATAATTTGAGAAAGGTAGATTTCCTTTCTTTTTTTTTAAGGTTTTATTTATTTTTAAAGTGTGTGTATGTATATGCAAATGCACATGTGTTAGGAGTAAGGTTTTCCGTCAGTCTGTCCCACCACCGTGCCAGCCCCAAATAACACACAAGACCCTGTATTAGATATAATGTTGTTGGCCTGTTACTTGTTTCTATTGGCTAGCTCTGTCTTAAGTATTAACCCATTTCTATTAATTTAAGTATTTCCATGTAGTCTCATCTTACTGGAGAGTAGGGCTGGCCTCTGTTCTCTCCAGTCTCTCTATGCTGACTCCTCCTTACTACTTCCTCGAATCCTCCTTGTTTCCTAGTCCCGCCTATCTTGTTTTCCTTTGGCCAACAGTGCTTTGTTCATTAACTAGTATGAGAAACATATTTACAGAATAACATCTCCCATCACACACGTGTGCATGTTAGTGGAGGCAAGATGCACTGGATGCCCTCAAACTGGAATCACAGGCATTGTGCACCACCTGGCCTAAGACAGATCTCGGGTCCCCTGCAGGAGCACTGCTGAGCCATCTCTCCAGCCTTGGATTTCTTTTGAATGACTTCACTGAGGGTAGGCACATGGCGGTTGTGGGGTCACAGAGCTCAGGAGTCCACCTCCTTGGGTGGGCCTCCTCTGGCAGATTGACCATCTTGTGAGTTTACATCAAGTCCAAGAGGCAGAAGTTGAAGCCAGGACTCCAGGGTGGGATAAACAGTCTTTGGGGTCACAGAACTGAAGACCCTTAGATGTACTGGTTCAATCTCCTCTTTTAAGAAGTGGGCGGCGGGTGCAGCTCAGTTGATAGGGTGCTTGCCTGGCACAAAATGCTGAGTTTGATTCTGAGAACAAAACAAAAGCCAAATAACTCAGGACAGAAGCCATGGGTCCTCGAACTATTTATCAATCTTATCTTCCTGTCTCCAAAAGTCTGAACCCCAAATCGTTGGGATCCTTATCTCCATCAAAATCTCTTAGAGCCAGGCTTGGTGATACACTTTTGGAATCTCAGTACTGAGGGAGAGGGCAGAGGCAGGAGGACCAGTAATTCAAAGTACATGGTGAATTCAGAAGGCTGTTTTAAAACTTAAACAAAGACCACCCCAACCTCCTAGATCATCCCCCTTTCTCCTCCCTCTTCTCCCTCCCTTCCCCTTCAACTGCACAGTCTCCTATTCTAATTAACACAGAAACGAATAGAAGACAGTTCCTGGCCCCCAGGGACTTGAATGAGAGAGTAGGAGTTTACACACATCAGTCAAGTGATTTACATATGTCAGTCAAGTCTAAATGAGGTTTTTATTTGAAGGCTATGAGGGACATTAAGTCAAGATAATTTCTTTTGATTTTGTTTCAGCTATCTAGTTTGTGTGCAGATGATCTTAAGTCACAGTTGAAATTTAGGGGCATGTTGTTGCACACTCTTTCTCAGTGGGCTGAGTCTGGGTAGAGAAGGAAGAAATGACACTGCCAAGCTTCTCCTGTATTTTTAAATTTCTTTGTTGTTTTTTGTTTATTTGTTTTACACAGGGTTGCTCTGCGTAACAGTCCTGGCTGTCCTGGAACTCACTCGGTAGACCAGGCTGGCCTTGACCTCACAGAGTTCTGCCTGCCTCTGCTTCCTTAGTGCTGGTATTAAAGGCATGAGCTACTAGTACTTGGCATATTTCTTTCTTAAAGATTTATTTATTTTAAGTTTGTGTATGAGTGTGTGCCTGTGTGTGTGTGTGTGTGTGTGTGCCTGTGCGCGTGTGTGTGTGCCCAGTACTAGAGGAGGAAAGAAGAAGGTGTCAGATTCTTTGGACCTGGAGTTGCAGGCATTTGTGAGCTTCCAGTCATGTGAGTGCTAGGAACTCTGGTCCTCTGCATGAGCAGCTGGTGCTCTTAGCTGCTGAGCCATCTTTCCCACACTCCCCATCGTGTTTTTGATCAACCTGCACATACTAGTGGGGCACGGGTGTCACTGACTCTTTTCTGGGAGGACACTAAAAGTCAGGGCTCTCAGTGGGGAGGTGGCTACAATAAGGTGGGCTGAGGCTTGGAGACTGGTTCTTTTTCTTTCTGACACCAGGTCTCATGTGTCTCAGGGTGACCTTGTTTGGACCTTGATCTCCCGATCCACCTTCCCCTGCCTCCTGTGTGCTGGGATCACAGGCGAACATCACCACGTCTGGTTTATGTGGTGCCAAGGGTCACGCTTGGGGCTCTGCATGCTAGCCAAGCTCTCTATCAGGTGAGTTCTATCTCCAGCCTGGAGCCTTTCTGACTTTCATCAGCGTCAACCAAGCACCTAATAACAGGACACTGTATGTCATGGGTATGACACTATAAGACACAGCTTGGAAGATGTGTGCTGTCCTAGTCATTTTTCTATTGCTGTGATGAAACACCAGGACCAAGGCAACTTGGAGAAGGAAGTTTTATTTGGAGCCAACAGTCCCAGAGGGAACTGTCCATCTTGACAAGGAGGTGGGCAGCAGGCACGGTGGCTGGAGCAGCCATTGAGAACTCACATCTCAAGCCGAAAGCAGGAAACAGAAAAACTGGGAATGGCATCAGTCTTTGAACTCTCAAAGCCAGTCTCCAGTGACACACTTCTTCCAGCAAGGCCACACCATCCCCAGACAGTCACCACAACTGGGGATCAAGTATTCAAATACCCGAAACATCTGGGGGACATCTAACCACCGTATGCAGCCAAACCTTTCTTTTTTCCATTTATTCTGTTGTTTATTGTGTTTGTACTTATGTACATTCACATGGATGTAGGAACACTTGTGTGGAGGTCAGGTGACAACTTGCAAGAGTCAGTTTTCTCCTTCCACCATGTGGTCAGACATTTTGTTGCCAGATGTGCAGTCTTTTTTTTCCCCCTACAGGTTCATCATTTTATTGGACATGTTAACAAGAGGCTTAGTCAAAAAGACCAAAGCCCATGTCATCATCAGAGTCCTCAGATTCTTCCTTCTTTGCTTCCACTTTCTTCTCCTCAGCTGGGGCAGTGATGGCGGTGGAGGGGGCAGGGCCACCTGCTGGTGTGGCTCCAGATGCTGGAGCAGGTCTACCAGCCCCTACGATGATGTTGGCCAGGGCCTTTGCAAACAGGCCAGGCCAGAAGGTTCAACATTGACACCAGCTGCTTTAATGAGGGCATTGATTATATCCTCCTTGAGCATCATCTCATCATCCCATGGTTGTGAAAGATGAGTGTGGAGTAGATGCAGGCAAGCTCAAAGATGGAAACCATGTTGTAGACTGTCGCCAGCACAGTGCTAGTCGCCAGATGAAGTGAGGGCCTCACCCCAACACAGCCTTAGCTTCCTCAGTAGGACTGAGCACCTTGGCGGCAGCTGAGGAAAGGGTCCAGATGTGCAGTCTGAAGCTTGGAAGTTGGTCCTGTATTTCAGCCCTGCTTTCTGTAGATGGAAGGCTGAAGGCTTAACAGGTAGAGCATTGTCTCTGCAGCCAAAGGCAGTGAGAGAAAAGAAGGAAGTCTAGGCGTGTGGAGACGGAGACGGGTCTGTCATCACCCTAACAAGCAGGACTTGAGAAAATCTGTCCGGGAGAGAAGGCTAAAAAGCAGTCATTCTTATTTCCCTCAAGGTGGGAGTCATAGTGATTTCCTAAATATTCTGGGTCCTGCTGCTTTGGACTGACAGACAGGTAGTGTCTCTTCTGATCCACAGCCCTTTGAGGTCACCAGGCAGCAGGCTCCCATGGCTTCAGTCATCCGTGGTCTTCACCATGCTGGTGTGTGTGGCTTTACCACTACAAACTGCATTTCCCTCAGGCTTCCTCTCTGGACAAACTCTCCTACAGCATTGCCTTCAAGTTTACATTTGTAGGCAGGCATTGTTTTTCTAAAGTGCTCCCATGCCCTGTTTCTCATTCGGTCCTCCCAGCACCCTGAGGTAGACAAGGAGGGACTGTTAGCCACTGTGCACCCTCCGTCCTCCGGTGTCCTGCGAGGGCCCAGCCAGACTCATTTGTATGCTCTCAATGTTTTCTTTTTCCTTTCTCATTTTCTCCAGTCCTAATGAAGTCTACTTGGCAGCCTCGTTACAGAAGGGCAGACGTCCCTCAGGTGACTGTGGGGCTGCAGTCACAGCTTTGCACTGAGGTTGAAATGTCACTCTGGGCATTTATCTGGTTCCACTGTGCAGCGGGATAATCTTCCCAATGCTTGCAGCATTTCCTGCTTAATATTCATCGCCTAACCCTACGTTTCAGGGGAGTTGGCAAATCTCCCTTTTGTCCAAAGGAATCTGATTTTCTGTGTTTTCTCTTGCCTAAATGTTAGGCATCCAACCAGAAATTTTAAAAATTAATATAATTTAATTCCCAACAGGTCAGTGCAAAACTAAGGTGTTTTAGGACAAAACACGAAGACTAAAACTGTCCTCTTCTTTTAGTTCAGTTTCTTCAGCAACAAGCACAGAGTTCTGTAATGTGTGGGCCTGGGTCCGCTGGGTCTGCTGCGTCTGCTGGGCAGAGAGCTGAGGTTTTATGCTGTTCTAGGCAGTCTCTTACGAGGAAAGCACCATGTGGCCCTCTTGCCTTGTTCAAAATGGAGATTCCCGCAACACCTGGACTTTCATCAAGGCACGTTTTAGCTGTTCATAGGTTACAAACATCATCACGTTCCAGGCTCCCAAACGCAGGAAGGAGGGCACAAATCTGAGGAGAGAAACAACTACCATGTGAGGAGGATTGGGCCTGGAGGCACAGGCACACCTACCTTGCTGTCCCATCACAACTCTTCCGAGATCTGTTTAGGCTTTGACGTCTGTGCTGAGGGGATTTAGGCAGGAGTTGGAATGGGAAAAGGAAAGAAAGCTAACTTTAAGGCACATTACCGTGTGAGGAAGTTAACACTCACAGGTCTGTGGGCTCACTCTGATGGCTGTGGGTCCTTTTTTAGGCCATAGAGGCTGAGGGACTCAAACCACAAAGTTGATAAAAAGCTGTAGGGTTCAGACACACTAACCCCACTCATCCTGGTGCTAGGGGCTTTGGGCCTGTTTATATCCAGATCTCCACGCAGAGAAGGCCCAGGCTAGGACATTGAGAAGTGGATGCAGGCAGGGTGGAGTGGGTACAGCACCGGCAACAGCTCATGTCCAGAAAGCTCTGCTCAGGTAGCATCTGAGAAGCCGTCCACCTGTCCATGCTTCTCACAGGCAGGGAGGGGCCTGGTTCCTCAGCCCAGCCACTCTCCAATTGCTCCCTCTAGGCCCAGTTGGTTCTTCCGGATCAAGTCACCATGCCCTGACGATGCCAGGCCTATTCTGTCCCTTTGAGCATGTTGCTTTCCCCTCAGCTTGGACTGTCTCTTATTTCTTTCCAGTATGGAGTGTTGCTCTTCATGCTGTAGGACTCAGTTGGGCATGGCAGCCATATGCCATGGCATTTCCTTTGTGAGGGAGGGTATGAGATAGGGCTTTACTATGTAGCTCTAGCTGGCCTTGAACTCATGCTTCAGCCATCATTCCCAGCTTGTCATGGCTGTTCTTAAACCTTAACAAGGATTATATCACTGTGGAAATATTATCCAAACTCTGGGATCCAGTTAAAGCTAAAATCCCAGCTCCTCCAGCTTCGGGTGCCTCATCTGAAGAGAGGACAGTAAAATCTGGGTGTGTGGCATATGCCTGTGATCTGGGAACTTGAGAAGTGGAGGCATGAAGATTGGGAGTTTGAGGCCAGTATAGGGAAGAAGAGACCTTGTTTCAAAAACACCTAAGACAAAATAAAACAAAAGAGAGGGTGTGGCGGCACCTTCCTTCCAGGGTTGCCACATGGTTAACTGATCAGTGGGGACAGCACCCGGCCCTGCTCAGTCAATGCCACCTCTTTGTCTGTGACTCTATGTTCAGTAGATGCCTGCCAAGCAAAAGAGGAACCTGAGGCACTAGCTGAAGACATCCAGGCGAACAGTGTCAGGTGACAGTCTGAGCGTGTTATTCCCAGACACGAGAACCTCAGTGGCTTCTGTTTGTCTGCGGGGTTTAGCTAAACATCACACACCAGGAAATCAGTTAAAGGCATGATGTGGGAGCCGATTCTAAGACCTTACTGGTGGGATAGGCAGCACCACACTGGGTGTGGCCTTCGTGCTAGGGCTCTGCCATTTTGTGATCTTGGGCAAGTTACTCTTTTGAAGTGCATTGTGGGGACTACTATCCAGTCCAGAGGTTGCAATACCCTATAGAAAGTACCTAGCACAGAGCTCCATGTAGGGACTTGGCCTTCAGGATGATGGTGAGTAACCCATACTACTGAATACTTGCTCTGTGTTTGGATCTTCAGATGTTAAATAATGGATTAGCCACCAGCCTCAGCTCCAAGGAGCTTATGGGCTAGCATGAAGATGAATTTAATTTTGTAGGAGGTGGAATTACCCTAGAAATGAATCAAATAATTAATATTGCTGAGGCTCATGGAAAGGAGGGAAAACTTACATGAGGGAGGGGGTTAGTCTGCAAGGGTGGCTGAGATTTAGATTATGTAGACGTCCAGGAAGAGCATCCCCATGGGCTAAGGTGCTTTGTGCGTGCAAGGACACATGCCATGGACAGAGTTTGAACCCTGGAACCTGTGTAAAGGTTGAGGGAGGGAACCAACTCCACGAAGTTGTCCTCTGATCTCCACACATGTGCTGTAGCACAGGCAACTAGGCACATATATCCTACACACATGCACCACACACAGTAATGATTATGGTGACAATGCTAACTCTTTTGAAAAGGCTAGGTCTTCCATTCAAAAGCACAGGAAGACCGAGTATTACTGTAGAAGAAAGGCACTTAAGTTCCATGAGTGTGGTGGTGAATGGTCAGGGCAGCAGCTGTGGAGAAGCCTCTCCTGCCCAAAACATTTGGAGACAATAATTTTATCTAGTCTTAGCCTACTTTTTCTTAGTAAGGCTTCTGTTGTGGGCACTTGGGTAAGAAAACCCCCAAAGCCAGGTGTGGTGGTACAAGCCTATGACACAGTGTTCAGAGGTGGAGCCAGGGGAATCAGAATGTCAGGGTCATTCTTGACTGAGTTCTAGGCAAGCCTGGAATTCATGAGAGTCAGAGAAAAGGAAAAGGGGGGAGAAGGAACAAAGAAGAGACGATAAGGAGAGGAGAGAGAGAACCCAAGTTTTCTGGAGAGAGTGCTGGAGGCAGAAGGTGGCGGCTTACCCTTTGTAGAAGGCCGTGAGGCCCTCTTGCGCCACCATCTTCAGCATACAGTGCAGAGGGCTGCGGTATCTGCCTGGGGGGGCATTCATGTACCTGGTCTTTACCACATCCACTGGGGAGGCCACCACTGTGGCACAAAAGCCGGCTCCAAAGGCAGAGACAAAGTGGCAGGGGAAGTTGTCTGTAGAGGGGAGGGAAGAACAAATTCCAGGAATGGAGGACATGTGCACACTTTACAGACGTGCAACCTTGACCTTCTAGAGCACAGTGCCCAAGGCTGAGCTCTTGGCTAGTCTTAGCAAGCTAGAATGTCTGAGTAAGAAAGCTTCGTAGCTTTTTTGTGGAAGCAGAAGTCAGAGAAGGCAAGTGACAGTCCCTTACAGATACACTGAGTTTGGTGCTGGCCCTGGAACCCAGGGTTCTGGCCTCTAGCCTAGGCCTCTTTCCTCATCAGAATCCTGACCTGGGCACTGCTCCTCCCTCCTCTGAGTGGTACCCACTCCTGTCTCCCTACCCACTCTCACCAGTGAACAGGTGAGAGTCCAGCAGCTTCTCCTTGATGATGTCATAGGTCACCATCTCAGCACAGTTGACAATGGCATTTCTCGTGATGTTGGGCCAAGTCCCTGTTAGGAAGGCATTGGGGACTGATGGATGCAATGCTCCAGCTTGGGTCCAGAGCCCTCTAGCAGTGGTCTTGGCCAGGGGACCACACCTCAGCCAGGCAGATCCCACTTTCCTTACGGAGTAATCAGTTTTTAAATTCCAGCATCTTCACAAACAGACACCCATTGCTTGGCTGCATTTGAAGCATAATTTGCACTCTCAAAATTTCAACGTGTCTCCCTGGAACCCAGGAGAAGTCAGGAAATGGAGGAGGGAGGCTGGGCCCCTAGGATAGTGACAGGATGTATTGCAGGGTCCTAGGAGACAGGTTTCACCCAGGAGAGGACAGGTTTAGTGTGAGTGGGACACCAGCAAGGGAGTGACTGGGGAGTGCTGTGACTGGGGTATCCTTCCCTTAAATGCCACACAGCCATTTTTCTCCTGCAAGGATTCATGGGAATTGTCCAAGTGCAGGAGAGATTCTGGCATTTGCCAAGAGGGGGGACACACGTAAACTCTACAGTGTTCACTCCCAAGGAAATACCACAGCTGTTCTCCATTCTTCTGTTTTTGCTCTCTGCCTTCTGCAGACTCTCCTACTCTGTCTTTACATCCTGGCCTTTGAGAGAGACCAGGTGCTTTTTGGAGCAGCTCAGCTGCTCCCACTTCTGGCCTGCTTCCTGGCTCCTTCCTGTGATGTAAGCTGCACCTGGCCTCCTTAGCTCCTCTGGGGTAATCCCCAGAGGGGTGGACATCCTGAGTTCATTTCTGTCTCTCTCAGGGTGGCCTACACAGGTGAGGACTGGTAAAGTGAACACTATTTGAGGTCCCGTGGCAGATGTGTGGGGTAGTGTATTTGGGTGTTCTTTGGGAGAACCATGCTTTGGGAGTTCCTTCTTGCCCGGTTCTGTCTCAGCCCCCAGGCAGGGAAAGCTCTGCCCAAGGGTACCATGTTTACCTTTCCATAGGCCCCTGATTCCTTCCTCCCTGGCGATGGTTCTGTAGGCATCCATAGTCCCTTTGTATTTCCTCTCGCCTCCAGTTCCCAGACGTATCATGGCTTGAAATCGGACCTTCACCACATCTGTGGGCTGGGCACAGGTCACTGCCATGGCTCCCGTGGTACAGCCTGCCAGAATCCTGATGGCGATGCTGGAGTCTGGGGAGGACAGAGAGAACTGGGCGGGATTCCTTAACACTGTCAACATCTCACCATTGTCAGCCACCAGCTTCCACATGCCTGACTCCCCTTGTTGGACCACTTCATGTCCTTGACCCACACACCAGCTACCAGCTGGGCTTCCTGCCCACCCCTGGGATCCATGTGTGTCTCTCTGGATGTCCCTAGGTGTCCCCATTGGTGTTGGTACTCACGGTCAGCTCCTTTGGGGGTGTAGAACTGTTTGACAGAGTCGTAGAGGCCAATTCGAATGGAGGCAAAGCTCATCTGGCGGTGGAGGCCAGCAACCAGCCCACTGTAGGGGCTGCAGGGACCCTCGGTGCGCACCATGGTCAGGATGGTACCCAGCACACCCCGGTACTGCACTCTCTGCATCCCTGGATTCTCCCCCTGGATCTGGAGAACAAGCATTGCACCTGAGGAGCTGATGGCTGGCTGGGGAGGGAGGGTCTGTGTGTGTGTGTGTGTGTGTGTGTGTGTGTGTGTGTGTGTGTGTGGCCCCAGCAGGGTCTTAGAATTAGTATGATAATTATGACAGGGTGAAAAAAACGACTGAGTGGTGCAGTTCACAAAGCAGCTTTCACTCAATGTGGCTCCGGGGCACACAGGAGGGGCCGGTTTGCTTTCCCCGGTTTATAATAGATGGCTAGTGACTTACCCAAGCCCACACCATTACTGTCTTACCTCTATTTTCCACTCTGTGGCTTACAAAGCAGATGTAAGCTGTAAAGTGTCCTGCTACATCATATCAAGGCACTTGGATTGTTTTGGTCCCAAGGGGTGGTGGTGGGGACCGGAAGTAGTGTAGGGAGTGGCCTTCTCCGCCCAACCCCCCTGTGTGAGGAAGCTACCGAAGCAGCCCCTCCTTTCTCATGAATCACAACCGATGGCCAAAGGCACACACCTGCAGGCGGACCTTGGCGGTGTCCAGGGGGAAGGTGAGTAGGTCTGCAAAACAGGCTGCAGTGCCAGCCCCCAGGAACTTCACAACTGTTGTGGGAGGCACTTCTGATGGCTGAAGTCCAACCATGGTGCCGGGCAGATGGGCCTGGTTCCTTCTGAGGTCCAAGGAGCCTGGCAATCCTTTACTTCAGTTCCAGGAGGCAGCTGCAGGAGAGAGGCCAGGGCACACATGGAGCCTGGGCTGTCTTGCTCTATTCTGTTTCCTGGGAGCCCCCAACACTCTGAAGGGGGTTTACAAAGTGAGAAAAGCCTGGGTCCTGCCACTCTTCCCTCCCCACTCACTCACTGAGCTTCAGCCACATGGGAGCTCTTGGGTGGCGGCATCTGTCTGGAATACAGTTCTCTCAGACACTTGCAGACTGACTCTTTACTTCCTTCACGTTCTCCTGAGATGCCACCTCTCTAGAGGGCCTTCCCTGAACTCAAATGCTAGCTCAGTATCACTCTCATCCATCTCATGGCACCAGACACCCCTCGACCGTGTCTCCTGCTGCACTTATCCACTCAGATGCTGTCTCCAGGAGCAGGACCTCACCCATCCAGGAGCAGATGGCAACATTATTGGATGATCCCCTCTCTTATCTGTCTAATCTCAACCTCACATCATTGTCACTGAGCTAAACCAGGGATTCAGCCAGCAAAGGCCAGCACACACTGAAGAGACCCACCCACAGGTGGGTGCTTGGCTTCGTGGAATAAAAACCCATGTGTGTGAGCTGCCTATGGAGGGTCTTCAGCAGACTCTAAGGCTTGTTTACACAGTGCCCACAAGCAACGGTGGGCAAGCGGAACCTTAGTCAGTGTAGACAGGGGGGAGCTGTCAGGAAGGGACTCAGAGGCGGAAGAACGTCCTTTTGCTTGTAAGGGTCACAAGAGGATTAATGCTGGCCAGGCCTAAAAAGGGCTAGTGGGGGCTGCAAAAAGCGAGGATGGCCCAGGGGAGGCAGAGGCCTGAGCCTGTATGCCGGTGGTTCTCAGCCCTCCTAATGCTGTGACCCTTTAAAAAAGTTCCTCATGTGGGGTGACCCCAGCCAGAAGATTATTTCATTGCTACTTCATAATTGCAATTTTACTACTGTTATGAATCATAATACAAATATCTGATATTCAGGACATCTGATATGGGACCCCTGTAGGGGCGGAGAGCCATAGGTTGAGAAGCACTGCTCAGGGGAAGCCAGGGCTCGGGAATCTCAGAGCAGGAGGACCTGGCTACTGGGCTGTGGGGCCCTGCAGTGGGAGCTTTCCACATGTCATCTCCTCAACTCTCAACACCTGTCAGGAAGGGTAGCAGAGGCTTGGAGGTGTTAGATTACATGGTGTAGCCAGCCCCTGGTGTCCAAGCCTCTTTTAGATTCAAAATCACTTTGGAAAAAGCAGGATAGTTTTTAAATCCAGTTTGCAGATGAGAAAACAGAGGCTTAAGATGGGAAGAGGTTGACGGACTACTGGTTACAGAACTCCAATCTAATTATTCTGATGGCCAAGCCTAATGCTGTCATCACTACACTACCCACAGTCCCACAATGTGGGAATCATGGTTTTGCCTTTGGTTGAGCATTCAAAGCAGTTACTGAGTGCTTCATAAAACCAAATATAGGAGTCTGGAAAAGGCTGAGTGAATACCAAGACCCACTAATCAGATGAAATTCATGGGCCCAAAGAGGTTAAATTCTGTGTGGGTGAGTGTAGTCAGACCTTGGCTCTTCCTTCAGCCCATCTTCTTGTCTGTGTGAGTTGCAAAGTGAGACAAGCCCAAGGAGGGGCAGGTTCTTTGGAAAGTGAAGCCTGAGGCCCAGGGCCCTTGGAGCCAACTTGGCTGGGTACCAACAGTATAGGCGTGTTAAGAAAACACTTGTTCAGGCCTCAGTCCCCTTTGCCCTACAGAAGGGCAGCCAGGTCTGGCTCCTTCCCAGCAGGAGGTACTGGATTCCCTGCCCAGGCCTGGAGTGTACTGTGGGAGCAGCTGACTCTCTTCATGGCATCCTGGTGGCTTCTTCTCCCCGCAATCTTGGATTTGCCTGGAGAGCTAGGCTGCTGGGTGACTTGATATAATGAATCCGAGGCACACACAGAGTTGGGGAGGCCCCTGGGGTAAGGTCTTTAGTATCTTGCCTTCAAAGCCTGTCTGGGGACCACTCAGGTGCTAGTAGAAGAACCCTGTGTTCTGCTCTGCTTTGGAGAGAAACACTGAGGTAAACCAGGCAAAGGACCTGTGTATGGCCACTGTCAGAGACCTGTGACTCCAGAGCACTTTCTGCTGGAGGCACATCAGGTGGCATTGGTGCTGAGCTGGGTCCTGCAGAAACCGCTTAATGGAGGCCAGGTGTGTCTCTGGAATTTTTGTCAAGAAGAGCTTCTTTTCTCAAGCCATGCTGTCCTCTGCTACTTCTGACCCTGCTGTCGTGTAGCATTGCCTCATTATCTGTAACTCTTTTCTAGCTCTGTTGGAGCCTCCAAAGCAGGGAAAAGACCAATTTACACTCCTTCTCTGTGCAGACTGTTATAAGGGAAGGTGTCAGGTAGCCCAAGGAGGGCCAGCTGCCCAAGACTCATCTTTCCAAAATGAGACAGGAAATGAGGTCAGAGATGACCTCAGGGCCCTTTGGTAGAGGGCTGCAAATGGCAAGGTTAGACTTAGTCTGGTGGGGAAGGAGGAGGGGCTGGGTGGTCAAAGCTTGCTGGTGCAGGCATCGAGGACAGATTAGAAGGGGCTGACCGGGGCCCTAAGACCAATGACTATGTTGTTGGAAAGGTGCTTACTAAACCCTGAGCTTGCCATTGGGGGTGCAAGGAGTACCCCTGAGCCATCCATCAGAAATAGAAAGGATGGGCAGACACATCTGAGGATGTGGGCAAGGCTACGAAGGCAGACATAGTGGGAACCTCCTGGGGTCTGGGATCCTCAACCTCCTTCTTGCTGCACCTCACTGTTGCTTGAGGAAGCCTGGTGGGCAGCAGACCTTTGCAACCAGTTACAGGTGCATGCTGTGAGCAATCCTCATCCTGGTAGCTCAGATGGGTCATCCAAAGCATGGGATGTGCTAGTCTACAGGGCCCACTCATGTCTGCTGAGTGTGTCCTGCCCTTGGCACAACCCAACTCTCCAATAAAGCACCTGCACCTGCACCAAGGAAGCCAACAGGCAGAGTGACCACAGGCTCTAGAAATGTCTACTACATACCTGGACCAGGTTTCAGGCTGGAGGTGCCCACATCATCTCTATCTAGGAAGGGCCCCAGGGCCTTTAGCCAGAGAGGGCTTTGTGCTCTGGAGGGATCCTGGGCCAAAAGAGAGGGACACTTCCCATCTGGGATCTGTGAAATTCTAAGAGAGGAGCCATCAGGACAAAGGGGAGTCCTGGGAAGTCAAGCAGATGTGGGAGCCTCCCTAGGGCTGCAGCTCCTTCACTTTGATTAGGTGAAGCTAGACTGAATGACTCTCAGTCTCAGTGAGTGATCCCTGGCAACTCCTGGCTGTGAACCTCCATGAAAGGGAGGGCAGGCAGGGGGGCAGGGGGAGCTGAGGAGGGGCATGGGGTCTTACCTGTGAGTCTAGCCAAGGTAGGGTAGTGCAGGTGCTCCCTGGGGCTCTATTCCTGGGTAGGGGAGGCAGCAGGATCCGATGGCCTCCCCTCACGGTTCACTGTTGTCTCTGCTGCCTCTGGCTCGGCACTGGCCTTATGCACCAGCTGACCTGAAACCTAATTCTGAGAAGCTAGTTGACAGCCCGATCACTTGACAAGAGGCGGGCTGCTGAGGGGCAGGGCAGGGCAGGGACCAGTGAGTTCCAGACCTGGTTTAGCTTCCTGGACTTGGGCTCTTTAAGATGGCTCCTTTGGGCTTTCAAGAAGAGGGCTGTCTTGGTGACTAGGGGATATGGGGTATGGCCAGTGTGCATGTGTCACCTTTGAGAGCTCAAAGACCAAGGCCTCTTAGGACAGGGGTTCTCTGGGGTCTCTTCTGGCTAACAGCAATGATGATAAGCCTTGTTTCTTGGTATCCATTAGGTGCTTGATATTTCAGATGCATCATTTCTATTCCCCATACTCTGAGGAAGCAAGTATTATCAGGCTCCTAAATTTAAAAACAAAGCAACACAGCTTTGAAATGTACTGTACATAGCATGTGATTTGCGCACTGAGAACATACAATTGAAAAACGTTTTAGTACAGCCAGGTTGAGCAACTATTACAGTCTAGTTCAGAACATTTTCATTACAGCTCAAAAGCAAAAACAAAACGAGTCTCCCCTTTTCCCTTCCCCCGGCTTCAGGCAACCAGTCATCTTTCTGCTTCTTTTGTTTGTTCTAGATGTTTCGTTTGAGTAGAATCATAGAGTACGGCTTCTAGTGGCTGGCTTCTTTCACTTGGCACAGTGCTGTTACACGCTGTAGTGCGTTATCAGTATTTCACTCCTTTACTGTGTAGAACCTTCATGTGTCAGTGCTTGCTTTACACAGAAAACTGAACCTCAAGGACAGTGACTTCCCAAGGTCACACAGCTAGTTCCCCATAGAGCCCAACCTTGCCTGTAACCTGGAACACAAGTCATTGGAGGCTTCAGCATGGACAGTTGGGGCCAGAGTGAGATGGGGCAGGGTGAGCCAAATCCTTTGTAGCAACCACTGCAGGCTGAGGTTAGGAATTGGGCACAGCTGAAGCTGGGAGCCAGGTGACATAGAAGAGAGACGAAGAGGGGAGAGAAGGTAGAGGCCATTTTGAAACTTAAGCAGAGCCCTGGTCCCAGGGTGGGTGGTGTGAGTAGAGTGCTTATCCTTTCTTGGTCCACGTCCTGCCCTTATGTTTTCAGGCTCCATCTGGAACTATTAATCTGGAGTTGGGCAGGACTGGGAACCATATGGCGGAGGGGCTACAAGGAGTCAGACTGGAGGAAGCAGGTCCTGGAGGGATGCACCATGGGGAGCAGAGCTCAGCTGGCTCCGGCCTCTGCTTCCTGAGGGTGCCTGGCGTTCTAGCTAGAGTCAGGTTTCTGCTAGAAGTTCTAAGGGTGGCTGCTACAACCTCCAGCTCACCAAAAACACCTGTTTTCAGGTGTCTGGGGAAGGCTTGTATACATGGAAGTCAGGGAGACACTGGTTTGTTCTGGGGGCAGTGACAAACATGCTGTATAACTTGTCCAATCACACCACCTCAGAGCTATCACTAGAGAGGAATGTTGGTAAGTAACACACCGTTCATGAGTATTGTCAGTGTTTTAGACCTTACCATGTCTTTGTCATCAGAGGCTGCCTGCAACCTGGGGTAAGAGCAGCCCATGTCCTCCTGTGGCCCTGTCCTCACTTGACCCATCAGGTTATTTACAGGAGCAGCATTTGGCAGTGAGTGATCTTCACCTGAGGCTTTACCCCTTAGGCCTGGAACCTGGAGGTTTCTTATTCCTTAAGGGATGTGGAACTCCAAGTATTAGAAGCTCTATTCTGAGTGGGGCCTGGGGCTGAGGCCAGTCTTGGCTGGGGAGGGATCAGGTTTGCAGCATGAAGCTCAAGGAGCAGAAACAAATATGAGGGCAGGTTAGGCTGAGGGTCCATGGCCTGTAAAGGGAGAGCTCCTGGGTACTGGTGCACGTGTCTCTAACTCACTACAGGAGCTTGGGCAGAGTCAGTGGGGCTGACATTTCCTAAGCTTCCCTTAGGTGCCAAATGCCAGTCAAGTATTTTCAGAAATGTCACATTCACATTTGATCTTCACAGCAACCCTATGAGGCCGGGGTCTAAAGGTGTCTGTCTTCCAGAAGAGGCCAGAGGGGCCGACACCATCAGGCTAGACCAGAACATCCTTCTGGTTCTTTTGGCAGCTGTCTGTGGCCTGTTCCATTCTCTAGGTTTACTCCAGTACTGGTTTCTTTCAGGAATCCTTCCCTGGATGCAGCAGCCCAGATCCAGAGCACCTATTGCCTGCACCCTGCTTTGGTCACTGAGTCCCTTATCTCTGGGTTTGTCTGTGTCTGGACGCACTTTCTAGCTACACAGAGGCAAAGCATTCGACTTCCTTGACCTTGAATTTAACTATGGGGGGGGCATCATAGTATCTAGGGATACTATGTATCTAGGGTGTAGATTTGTTTTCAGGAGTCTGTGAAATGACAAATGCTTATGGGTGACAAGCAAGGCCCTCTGGTAGCTCCGTTCCAGCCTCATCACCCAACTGGTGCTGTACTTCGATCTGTGTCCCATCAGTCATCCCTACAGGGCTTTGTCTATGGTAGCTGCCCAAGTGGCTGTGTTCTGACAGAGATACCCTTCTGAGACATGGAACTCTGTGGGACCAGGTTCTATACAGCCTTTCACTGTGTTGAGAGACTTCAAGGACCATCAGAGGAAAAGATAAAACCAAGAATGAATAAGCAAAAACCCAAACAACCAAAAGAGGGGACACTGGTGTCACTCCAGTGTGGGCCAATCTGACACTCAAAGAACTCAAGTCTCATGGTGACTCTGGTCCCTTGTTCCAGATGTCTGAGGGATGGTTGTCAACCTCTGTCTTTGCAGCCAAGACTACAAATGAATCCCAACACCTTTTCTAGTGACCAATCCAGAAAATACTTGTGCACAAATAAAATACCAGACTTTTATTAAAGCAAAGGCAGGAACAATGAATTTCAGAGCTGAGTAAAAAACAAACATTAAGTTAAAAACATGGTTAGGTTTCAGATAATCAAATACAGTTTAAAGGAGGTGATCCCCCTTGTTCTATTGATTAATTCAATAAATCATAAAAATAATGTATATCTATAAAAAACCCTCATTCCCAAACAAAGGAGCTGGACAGGGCCCTGGGATTTTTCTCAATTCGGCACACGCTTACAGCAAACATAGCCTGTCCTGTTCAAGCAGAGGGTGGCTCTGGTCAGCAGGAGGCTGTGCCAAGGACACTGGTTTTTCTGTCAGAGATCCTCCTTAGGCCCCATGGTCAGAAGGTGGATGCCTGGGCCATGTTGGGGCCGGAGTCCAATTTAGTTCCAGCCATTGTCTCATTACAGAAGGAAGCAAGGTCCTGAGGCGGGAGCTAGTAGGTCCGGGCATCCCTAATTTAGTCTTAGCTGATTAGGTCTCAAGACACCCATGGGATAGGGTGGTGGTAGTGGCCTCAGGATGCTGAGGGAAACAGATGTGGTGCCTCCTGCAAGCTGAATAAAGCTGAGGGAAGTTGGCTCAGCCCCTCAGGCTTCATCAGGCTTCTGGGAATAGTGGGAAGAGAATATCCGCGCAATCCGGCGAGTTTCTTCCTCAGGAAGGTTGGGAGGGAGGGAGTTAGGTCTGGGGCGACAAGGCCTCTGGGTGAGGGCTCCCCTGGTGGGTTCATTCTTGTCCTGGAGAAAAAGATATCAGCTAGATTAGCATTGCCAGTGGCTGAGTTTGGTCCCTCGTGCTCTGGTTGTGGGCTAACATTACTGCAGACGTGCCTGGTTTGCAAACCACCCCCACACACCTTGTCTTGTTCAACCCTTGCCACAACATCACAAGGTAGGGGCAACTTTCACCCCACAGTTCAGATGCAGTTAGTTTAAGGTCATGCAGTTCTTGAGCAGCTACCATAGACAAAGCCATCTGCTCATTCACCTTTTTTTTTTTTTTTTTTTTTTTTTCGAGTACTCTGTCATGTTCCTGCCCTGAAGCTCAGATCTGTATAGTAAAGCCATCCTGGGCAAGCCTGGTGAGAGCAAGGCCCCCCAGGGAAGAGATGGAGGCCAGGTAGCAAAGAGAAAGTACAGAATGAGATGGAAGTTGTCACCATGGGCAAATGTGCCTGGCTTTACAGATCTTTTCCCTGTCCCCAAATCCACGAGCCTTTCTACATGCCGATGGAGCACTGAGACCACACAACCCTACCTCCCCAGACACTGGGACAGCAGTGTGGTGCAGAGCTTGGAGACTGGGACTAGCTCGTATCCTGTTTGTCTGCTACTAGGATGCAGAGAGGCTTCAGGATGAGTACACTCGGAAATCCCATCTTTTCTTTCTAAAGGGCCATACATGTCAAATGGAGGCAGAGATGATCAGAACAGTTCCTACTGCACAGCACAGAGTTAAACAGGTGAGGCACAGTGATCTATCCAAAGCAGGAGTGCAACAGCCAGAGTGAGAAAAGAGTTGGGTATCTTCTCTACTTCTTGGGTGTTAGTTTCCCAGCCATGAACAAGGGGACTGGGCAAATAAGCAGGACAGTCCCTGCCAGTCCAGAATGCTAAGCAGGAGGGAAGCCAGCTGAGCAGGCTCTCAGGCTGGGCTGCTTGGCATAGCCTGGAAAGTACAGCTGTGTGCTGGGCAGGTCTAGGCTAACAGGGAGGCTATCATTTGTTGGTTTACAGTCCTAGGACCAGGCTCCAGACTAGGCACTTCTGCGGGAGAGAACCAGAAGCTTCAACACAGGCAGGCCAGGTCAAGATGAGGTCCTGGACTGTGAGACCAGTGAATGGGCAGGACTAGACCATGATGACCCCCTGTTTATACCATGCATGGAGGAGACTGCCTCTTGCAGTAAATGCCTTATTCATTCCTTCTAAACCAAGGGCTGCTGGAGTTCTGTGTACATGTCCTTTGGGTTCTCCGCAACACTTCCAAGATTCTCTCTGCCCCCTCCCAAGATC